CTCTCTCTCCCTCCCTCCCTCCCCTCCCCCTCCCTCTCTCCTCCCTCCTTCTCTGACTCGCTCATTCCCTCACTCACGTACGTTTTCCCTTTTCGCACACATATACGCACATTTCCTTTTCCTCCCTGAGCCCCGGTTCTCGAGTCGTTCTTTTCTCTTTCTCTTTCTAACCCTTTAAGTCATCACCCTCTAAGATGCGTCTGCGTTGCATTGCTTCTTTATTCATCTTCACTTGCGAACGTGTTGAAAATTTCATGCTCCAAATACGATACAGCACGTTTCTTCTTGTATATATAATATTATCCGAGATAATTGACGTTTCGCAAATATAAAAACATCTTATTTGAATCGTGAACGTTGAGCAAAGTAGCTTAATTGTAAAGTGTCAATAAATGAAGTCACACACAAATTTCGCGTTTAAAACTAACGAACAAATGCTTTTCTATATCGTGTATACATGTAGTAAATATTTCAAGAAACATCGTGTATCATCATAAAATGACCGCATCGTATCATTTGTTGAGTTTGAAAAACTGTCGCGAAAGAAAAGATCACGTTGATAAAATCGGAAAAAATCTATTCTTACGCGCGATACGAGATCAGAAATCGAAAGAAAAAAATCTTTTACAATTATAGGTATGCTTGAGGCGGAGTAAACGTTACAATGAGGATGGTAGCAGCGAGGAGGAAGCTAAGCAGAATAGCACTTCCCTGCCTAGCCACAGGCTACCGTCTTTGTATCGCGGAACATGGCCCATCAGAAGAGACGTATGGGCTAATCAGCAAATTGGCTTTCCGACTCAGCAGAGCACATCACTCCCTGCACACAATGTAAGTTATAACGGCGTAAGTTATATTGCGATTTATAATATTTCTCGTACCATACGAGATGTCGCAAAACCACCGCCTATCCTTTTGATGGTTAAGAGGACATTCGGTAGTTTTGGAAGAACGATGATTTTAAAATATTTAGCGTATTATAATACCAAATAATGTGGTACTCCAAAAAGTCAGTCAGTGTCTCTCTCTCTCTCTCTCTCTCTCTATAAATGGTTGCATGTTATCTGGAAAAATGAAAACGTTGCTCCAAATTCTACTCGTATGCCCATGTGTAGGATGTGGCCAGCGTGATAAGTTTCTCGTCATCTTCGAACTCTGCGGGTCTCGAAGGCAACTCCACGGAGCTGCAAGGTCATCGTCGACTAGATGCCAAGGTGGACGTGGTGTACAATCTACTCGGTATGCTTGAAAAGAACGGTCGAGATGATATGAGCACGACTTTGCTCTCAATGAGCACTTCAATAGACAGTTGCCTGGTGATGAGACAATCCGGCTGCCTACCGCTATTAGTGCAACTGATTCACGCACCTGGACAAAATCCTGACACTCGAGACAGAGCTATGCAGGCATTACACAATGTGGTGCATGCCAAAAGTGACGAGAGAGCCGGTCGCCGGGAAGCACGAGTGCTTCGATTCCTCGAGCAGTTGCGCGACTATTGTCAGAATCTGAGAATGTCCTTGGAACAGGATCAGCTCACGGACGACCTTGAGAGGGGACACCCTGCGACGACGATAGCTGCGCTTATGAAACTATCCTTCGATGAAGCTCATCGCCACGCAATGTGCCAGCTGGGTGGCCTCCATGCGGTCGCGGAACTCATTGAGATGGATCATTTGGTTCATGGTAGCGAAAGCGACGATCAGAATTGCATCACATTGCGACGATACGCAGGAATGGCATTGACCAACTTGACTTTCGGCGACGGCAATAATAAGGCATTGCTCTGCTCCTTCAAGGAATTTATGAAGGCGTTAGTCTCGCAATTGAAAAGTCCCAGCGATGATCTGAGACAAGTGACAGCGAGCGTTTTAAGAAATCTATCCTGGCGCGCCGACAGTAGCAGCAAACAGACTCTGAGAGAAGTAGGTGCGGTGACGGGTCTGATGAAAGCCGCTATGGAAGGCCGCAAGGAATCCACCCTCAAATCGATTCTATCCGCTTTGTGGAACTTGTCGGCCCACTGCAGCACGAATAAAGTGGATATCTGCGTTGTGGATGGCGCTCTAGCCTTTCTCGTAGACATGCTGAGCTACAAGGCGCCGTCCAAGACGCTTGCGATAGTCGAAAATGCCGGTGGTATTTTGAGAAACGTATCGAGCCATGTGGCGGTACGAGAGGATTATCGAACCATCGTGAGAGAGAGGGGCTGTTTACAAGTTCTCCTGCAACAGTTAAAATCGCCCAGCTTGACAGTAGTTAGTAATGCCTGCGGAGCGCTCTGGAATCTGTCCGCGCGATGTTCCCAGGATCAACGTCTCCTTTGGGATCTGGGCGCTGTACCGATGCTACGCAGTCTCGTTCACTCCAAGCACAAAATGATTTCGATGGGTTCTAGTGCAGCCTTAAAAAATCTATTGAGTGCTAGACCTGGTTGTAACAATCTCGTCCATTTAGACTCTACCGCTCGAGGACTGGGACTGTCAACTTTACCAAGCCTGGTCGCTCGCAGGCAGCGGGCTCTGGAGCAGGAGATCGACCAAAGTCTGGCGGAAACATGCGATAATATCGAACCGAGCACGTCGCCAACCAACAAAAATGAAAAATTCACATTCAAACTTGATCATAGCTTTCTCGGCGTCAACGCTCATAGATTGCGCTCTTATCAGTTGCACGGTCAGCCTAACACGTCTGCTGTCAAATGCAACGGAGTTGCCAGGAGCGAGAGTAGAGATTCGATGCGTTCTGTGACGAGCACCCATTCCGACACTATGTTCGAGCGGGTAAATCGTCATGTTCTGAATGGCATATCGCCCACCGAGTCGCAGGTCAAGCAACAATCCTCGTCGTTGCATTCTGCTGTCGGATTCGGCAACAACGGCGTGTGTGGCGACGTTCACCCGAGAACCACCTCCTCCGAGAGAAAATACACTCTGCGTTATAAAAACGCAATACCGGAACAACTAAAGCCTTCTGATGTTTTCGGTTCGACATTAAACAAGCTGAAATGCACGAATTCTACTATATCATGGGCCGCAGTGCCCAATCAAGAACCTTCTCAGATCTCGCTACACTCTTCCATCGAGAACAATATATCTCTGATCGATCAAAGTATGTCATCCTTGTCCAAAGCTGGTAGTCAATCTAGCGTGTCCGAGGAAGTCGAAGCGACTGTTCGTATTAAATTGGATTATCGAACAACCACAGATGCAATTGTTGACAATTCAAAGCTGACCTCCGACCTGTCTGATGTTCCTTCTATGAAAGAAAACGCGAGGAAAGTCTTATTGCGCAAACATGACACACTAAACAGTGTTCAAAAAGCAATATCGTCCGCAACGATCATTCAAAGTCCGGACGATAACTTATTCGGTGATTATGCTGAAACAGATTTGGATCAACCAACCGATTATAGCCTGCGGTACGGCGAACAAACTATAGATGACGAGAAGCAATCCGATTTCTTCTCAGGCAATGATCAAGGACTTCAGCACGAGGACACAATTAAAACTTACTACACGGAGGGAACGCCGCGTGCATCCTTGAACTCGTCCAGAGCCACTTCCGCTTCCGATCTGCAGGATGATAGTCGTATAAAGAACTTGTCGAAGAAATTACCAGAACGATATAAGGCGAGTCATGTAGATAGTCACGGTGAATGCAAAGCGCCGTCATTGATGAACGTACCAAAACTGAACGACTTTGCCAAATCGGAAACGGAGTTGAATTTACGAGACGTGACACGTCTTACGGACGATGAGAGTGCAAATCATTCGTTACCATATCTTGAAGATCAAGACAAGCAAAAAGACAATCGAGAAGATGCAATTGTGCAAAGTCATTCAAGGTAATTATGCTGTCTAAGTAATCATGATACTTGATATTTATGTAGAATCCATCAGTGCTTTAAATAATGAATTGTTATATTACATTAGAATGTGTTTTTTTTTTTAATAATTGTTTGCATGATATTTGCGCAGTGTAAGAACGACGCCAATTTCAATGATATTAGGAAATTCTGAATATAATGACGATCGTAATGGGGAATCCAGCTCTAGGATTAACAGTCTAGGTAATCTAAAACAATTTACTTAGCCTAAATATTTCGTATAACTTAAACAGACTTAACAGGCTTTCTCACAAATAATATAAATTTGCAGACTCCAAACCAAATAAAGTAAATAAAAATTTACCATTGAGTGACATTGAACTCTCAGCTGACAGTACTAGTTTAAAGATTTCCAATAACGATTCAGGATGTAAGTAGTATATATAATTCCGCGAAAATTGTGGAAAAATAGACTAATTCAGTAAATACAAAAAATTTTTTCTGGATATATATATAGATCAAGTTAGCGACGGAGACGAGGATGATGAGGATTTATTAGCCGCTTGTATTAACATTGGAATGCAAAATAATCGGTAAAATATTAATTATTACTGTGGCACTTAACGTAATTTGTTACTTTACAATTTTCACGAAATTATCTTATTTCATAGGCACAGACATTCCTTTATAGGAAATAATCTCGAAAAACTTCCTCGATTAGAAAATAATCTGACTCGATATCAAACTAGTCTTGCTTTAAATCAAGTCGAACATAAAGGAACTGTAATGTCCGATAGTTCATCGTTTAATGTAAAGTATGTAGAGCCTCGTGGAACCACAGCTGAAAACATTTTGGCGGAGAAGAATAGAGAAGACAAGAAAGATAATAATGGAAAACTATCTAAAAAGAATCTTCAATTGGAAATAGTCACAGTAAGAACATTTCAGATTGACTTTTTAATATTAATTTTTCATAACACTATATTACATATAATACTTATTTTAATTATATTTTGAAAGGTATTTTGTTCACAGATAACGACAAACATGGATAATATACATAATGAGAAATCAAATAACACTACGACCATGAAAACAGTAAATGGTAATAATCTCAGCAATAATTTCTCAGAAGAGGCAATATCTATATTACAGACATCTAATTCATCTTTAGATAAAAACGTTCCCAATGATTTTGTTATAACTGATGAACCTGGCAGAGATCAAAATAGCTCCATTAGAGCAGACGAAGCAATAATTGACGTTCAACTCACAGATATACCATCTATGAAGCAATCAAAAGATTCTGAAAGCAGCGAATCGATCGACTCTGTCGAGCAGTCTGAACATGCGCTTTTAGAATTATGTATTCAATCCGGTATAAAATCCGAAGGCAACATCACATTGAATCAAAGTAACGCAGATTATGTTAAGTCACAATTAAAGTTATACAACAAACAAATAGACATAATAAAAGGAAGAAATAATGATGAAATTGAGATTAAGGATAATAGGAACGGCAAATCGGAAACAACCTTTGAAATCATGAGGACCTTAGATGTTCTTCATCGTGACTGTGCAGAGAAACATACAAAAGAAGAGACATATAGGCGACAAAGAGATCCCGATGCTATGATTGCTTCGTTAGATCGATTGACGGCAACGCTGGTTCAACAAACCGAAGCGATACGTGAACGAGATTCCGGTACGATGAAACAGAGTGTAACGTGCGACACATGGAATGAGGATTCGCCCAATGACATTTCCTTTCCCAGCATCAGCATGAGCGCACCGTTGGTGGCTTCATTCAACAGCGACGCACAGGAAAATCAGCGTACTACTATATCAGAGAATACCGAGCAGATTAACATGACAGAGTCAAAAATCATCCAACGCGAGGCTATCAAATTAGCAGAAGCGGTGGACGCAGAGATAAATAACCAGAACGAGCTCGAAACAACGAGTCTGATATCCATTGACCTCGAGGCGATCAAACCGCCGTCCTCGATGGGAAGTTTACTTTCATTGACGGCAAGTTACGCTGGCACTGCTGACAACACTGAGATGTTCATCAACCGAGATAGGTGCTATTCTACGTCATTACCACCGGCCCCAATGAGAAATTTCAATGATTCTCGCAACGTGCGGAAGAAGTCCTTGCCAGTTGGCGTGGTAGCCAAGCGAGCACTGGGTCAAGGTCAGAGCCACACGACTAGCCTGGAAAATCTGCTGAACGAGTGCACCAACTCACATTTGGAGAATGTCAAACCACCATCCATGATGGACGAACTGCCAGATGTAGGTGATATGGAGAATAGCATGTTAAGCGTGGCTAGCATTACATCGGAGATTGCGGATTCGAAAGAACAAGAATCACATAATTTGACTGGCAGCGATCCAGCAGTGTTTGAGATGCTGAAGCCAGTTGCCAACGTGCTGTCCATGACATGCATGCATTATGTCGAAGGTATGCAGAACAGTACGAGTAACAGTCTGAGTGAATGTCTGGAGAACATCAATCCACCGTCCTTGTTCAATGAGGTGACTGAAATGGATGAATCCACGATGGAAGCAACTACCGACATTATGTGCAGCGACACTTTGTGCATAGATATGGAGTTGCACACTGATGAAGTGGTACACTCGATCGTAGCGGAAGTGATTGATGAAGCAGAGAACGATACTGACGAGGCAGTCACGCCAATCTCGTCCGAATATTGCGTCAGCAGTTCGGCTGAATCGACGCCGAAGAAGCGATCGCATTCGAAGAGCTATTTAACCCCGAAACAAAAACGGAACTTAGCGAAAGAGAGATACAAGACATATACCATTGCCGCAGAGATCATCAAGAAAGAAGAGGAAGAACGACGAAGACAAGACGATATCGTCAACGATGCGGGCAATAGAATTCCACGTAGAAAATGTTCTCCTTTCTCAAAACTAACGCCAAAGCAACGCAGACAAGAGAATAGAGCGAGATTCCAGACACAAGTACTAGAGAATCCTTTTCCGGATCTGAACGTAGTCCAAACTAAGGAAGAGACAACACACAAGATGACCATTGAAGACACCGTTGAGAAACAGGAAGTTATATCCTCCGTCAAGTCTTCAATTCCTATGCTCACGAAGTTGCCCGTGTGTAAAGCATTGAGAAGGAAACACGGGGATTCGCAAGAAAACAGGGAGAGATATCGTACAAGGACGTTGAACGATTCAGAAACCATGTTCAAAGAGATGGAATGCAATTCCGCTTCCAATCAAGCTTCAATCACCGGCATAATGGAAGAGGGGCAAGCAAGTGCGCAAGAATACGTGCGGGAGGAAATTCAAAGCATGCTAGAACAGAATACCACCATCGTACTAAACACTCTAAATGAGTCAAACAAAGCTAATGATTCGACCGCAGATGATATTTTGCGTTGCGAGACTACTTTGGCGTTGAATGATCCCGAATCAAATCATAACCTAAGAATGCATTTCGTAAACGGACTTTCAAAAAAACTGACAAGTACACAATACGACAACGACGCCCAAACTCCCGTGGCAAATATTGACAATGAGGAATTGGAAGGCGAGCACATAGAAGTCGCTTACGAGAATCTGGGCTTGGCAAACCCAGTTGATTCAGGCAGCGACGAGGAGTCCAATTGCGCTGATAAAGGACAAGAACCTAGAGAAACAAAAAGAGCACGAATAATCAAGCCGCCAACGCTAGGTCGAGATCCGAGCATGGATTCCACTGGGACGGATAAATCTGAGCCAGAAAGCCCGAAGACTATTCGAGGACGAAGAAAAGCACTATATTCCAACCCAATAACGCGAAAGCCGACCCCACAATCCTCGCCATTGAAGCAAGTGAACTCTGTCAGTGGGATACCAATAGGTCGCAGCAATACTTCACCCATTGTTAGAGCTACTAGAGCCATCACTTTGCGAAAGAATAACAATAGTACAATGGTTGCTACGAAGGACTCTCCGAAATCTAATACGAGTCCGAAGAGGACTTCGCTTTCCGTGGACGTAGAAAAGAAGACACGAAATTTGGCGACTGTTTCTAAAAGGGCGTCCGTACCTCAAAGGGGATCCATGTTAATTTTCACTAAACCCACTAAGCGTCATAGTACACCTTCGGCTTGCTCGTCAAACTATCAAAACGATAGCAAACCGTCAGAAGTCCCAATTAAGCTATTGGAACGTCAAGGAACTTTTACAAAGGACGAGCCAGAGGTAGATAATGCACCGACAGTGCATTCCGCGTCGTCTTCCCCAATAAAGACGAAGATCGCCAAACCGATTAGAGGTGTTTCATCGAAGATATATTCGGCAGCGGGAAAATCCAAACTCTCTGTGAAAACGCAACAAGAGTATCAGCCAAAAATTATGGTTAACAGTTCCGAAAAGATGCAATCATCTAAAGGATTGTTAACGGTACCGAAAAAAATATCATCTGGAAAAATAGGTGTGTTAACAAAAGTTCTTAACGGTAATGTGCTCCAGAATGACAAAACCGTTCGAAAGATCAATCCACTGGGACAACAATCTAATAGTAATTCCAGCATAATTTCTAATTCACCTATGAACGTACAAAATCGTAAGTTGGCGAAGGAGGCAACGAGTAAGATTGCGAATCTTTGGAAGAAGGTCGAGGAAAACAAGAATAAGCAGCGTTTCGAGAAGCCGGACACTAGGCAATGGATAAGGCCCACCAATAGTGCCACTGAGGTAAACGTCGCAACCGCTGGCACATTCAACAACCCGCCAGCATACAGACTATTCCGCAGTTCCACGTTCGAGGGAATTTCCCAAGAGAACGGCAGCAATGGCGAGATATCGTCCTACAAATCCAAATCCAACCGACAACCAGTTTTAGGCACGCAGATCGAATGTGACGGTCTTAAGTACAGGAACTCTTGCGATTTCACGGGTATGAATGCCTATGAAGCGCCTTGCAAGATACCAGTGAAATCTTCTGTACAAGAAACGTACAAGCGGGAAATCACACAGTTGAGTGATATTCTAGTGATCATGAAGAAGCAACCGAGCGCTGATCTCGCGGCAGAAGCGGATCTCACCAAAAGAATATCCAGGCTTGGTTCTTTCATTCGAGTGGACCCAATGACAACAGCGGAGGACAGCAGTAGCGGAGTGCGGATGCCAACTTCAGCAATCGTATCGCTTTTCAACTACAATCCAAACTCAGACATTCCATCGCAAGCGGCCAAAATTAGATCGAACGAGGAGCAGGGTAAATTAGAAACGATAGATTGCTACACACACACAGAAATAGCCACAGGATCCACTCGGGTAACGACGGTATAAAGAGACGAACCCCGTAAACAAAACATAAATAAATTCTGTAATAATCGTCGCCTCTTTTTCGTTCCTGACTAGTCATTGTGTATATTCGCTTGCTATAATAAGTTTGCTCGCACACATTCGTCATATGTGATACGCATTACAAGTAGATAATTTTAATCTTATATTCTTTGTCTCGTTACGTGTGGCGTATACGAGTTCTTTTACTCTTTTTATCTAGAATATAAAATAGTTATAATATCCGTAATCTTGTACGCGATGCCAATTTCTTCAATAACGACAGAATTATGTGAAATATTAATAGGAAATTTCAAGATCATTCTTGTCTATTTTATCTGCTGTATATATACATGATGATATAGAATAATTTCGAGTTTGAAATAAGAAAGAGAATCAGTCGAAAATTTACGACTACGTTTACATGACTCGATTTACGCCGAAGTTATAACATCGATGTTATGAAACTGGCAAATAACTACGACTGGCCAGTTTTCATAACATCGATGTTATAACTTTGATGTAAATCGAGCCGTGTAAACGTAGTCTATAATATGTAGCCATGGTCGAAGACTAGAATATGTACCATGATATGTAGCGATGATTCTAATCGATTATTTATTCAATTTTGTATATATATATATATATATATCAATATATATAATATAACGTAAGAGGATATAGAAAGTTTTAGTAGCGTGTTTAAAATTATATACGATGTGTAGCACGATACGCTGGTGATACATTGCTAATGATATATCTTTGTATTTGAAATTGAAAAATCGGAGAGGAATAAGGCGTAATCTGTATTTTATTTCTTTCATATTAACTGATTCGTACCATCTCTTACAAATGGAGATACAAAATATAATTATTTTATCAAGACTGATAAGTAAGGCGACAAAGATCTGGAATAAGCGAAATTAGCTTTGATTGAAAATTAATCGTAATGAAGAAATATCGTTTATATCGACCATGAATGTAAAGCGGTCTAAGTAGTTTATTAAAAATGACATTACAATACTGAACAAAAAATTTTACGAGTATATATTTAAGTTACCAGTTTACAGCTAATATATCTTCATCATATTACATGGATACTAGTTTCGCTTATAAGCAGTGTCTATCAAAATCGATCCCTTTCGGAAGTAAATGTATTATTAAAGGGATGTACAGGTCAATAAGATATAGATTGAAGATTAAAATATTATATGTTTAGTTACTATTTAATATTTTTTTCTTTCATCGAAGATTTCAATGCAAACGAGCACAACTGCGAGTTTTCATTTTTAATTTTATTTTTAATTTTATCTCTCTTGTCATATCAATTTTCCTTTTTTTGTGTGGGAATCAGATCATTACCAAACTCTTATTGCAAGGAGATCTTTTGGTACATGAGCTAGCATTTATTATACGTATTTATTTATTTAATTGAAAAGTCTTCTCTGTAATAATATTTTACCCTGTTCCAGTTCGGGTTAATTAAATTTAACCCCGCCAACTTGGAACCACGTCAGGGTACCTTTATTTTATTTTATGTTAGTCAATAAAAAATATTTGATCTGTACACCATGGCTATTCTTGTAATTTCTTTTTTATAACGTTATTTTCATTCCGTTCTAGGTTTTAAGAATAATTTTTTTACATATTAACACATTTTAAATATTCGTCACAGATATCTTTATAATTTGTACATTACTACTTGCAGTACAAAAATTTATAACTAACTTGCAGTATAAAATTTATAACTAAAAAATATCCTCCGGTCTTTCATAAACTTGAAAGAAATGTCATCAGTTGTTTGCAACTAATAAACAGAATAAACGGTATAGCAGACAAAAAATATTTATTGATCCTTAATGCAATTATTTGTCATATACAGGACATTCGTATAAATTAATAGATTTATCCTCAGACACTGATGCAATTATATTATTTCGCTGTGGATTATACTTGACTGACCAGACCTATTATAAAAATTAATTTATTAAAATTTTAAATTATACTTTTGCTTGAATAAAACAAAATTATTTCATGTTTAAGAGACATACTTGATCCTTATGTTCACGAAATGTATGCAAACATTGTCTTTGTGCTAATTCCCAAATCTTGACTGTATGATCGGAACTACTTGATGCAAATTGCTGTCCATCTGGTGAGAAAGCCACACCAAGTACCCAAGAAGCATGACCCGACATCGTTCCTGCTAGATTTGCATCTTTGCTAAATAAAAAAAGAATATAAAGCATTTGTCGATTTCTGTTTAGTAAAAAAGTTAGAATATTTATAAGGATGCTGGATATAGATCACTGCTAAAGAGTAATAGCTTGTTCAACAAAATCTGGGTTTAATTCCCATTAATTGCCATCTTGCATGTATGACGATACACAATTTTTAATAAGAATTTGCCTATAAAAGAGAATGAAATTTCCCTGTGAATCAAATTGTTCGAAAGACATAAACTTAGTCCCCAGATAATTGGGGATAAATGAATCATGATACATTATTCTTTGGAAAGAACTTTCAAACAATAATAATAAATAAAAATTAAAGTAAACATCAATTCTACAGAATGGAGGTTGGGCAGAGAGGTAATAGTCTCTTTCCTTCGCAATCAATCAAATTAAGAAGAAACAAAAAAGTTCATATATAATCATATTTCTTTTCATAGTCAAAACTTAGTTCAAGTTATAGTGTCAAAAAATCCATACATATTTACAGAGTTGGGAAGTAACGATCAGAAAAGAAAGTAACGATCGTTATCGAAAAATAGTAACGAAAATGATAACGCGTTACAAGTTACAAGTAACGCGTTATCATTTTCGTTACTATTTTTCGATAACGATCGTTACTTTCTTTTCTGTAACAATAACGGTAACGTCATTGTATTTTTACAGAAACGAATTCACCTGTTATTTTTATTCTACTCTCTTATTATTCCTTTAATCCCTTATTACTTTACAACTATTCAATAGATCGCATTATTTTTAATTGGCTAAACACGTTTTATAATACAAATTTAAATATCGACAAATATTTTGCACTTTATATCTTAGGCTGCATTCCGATAGTCATTATCAATACTGAAAATTTATAGGCCCCTATTCAGAACGCGCTTACAACGATGTTAACGCGCTAACATACTATACTTTACGTCACGCATATTATAGAATTTCAGAGATAAAAGCACGCTTTTATCGATAAAAGCGCGTTCTGAATACGGGCCATAGTATACATATATATGTAACATGGACTACAAATTTTTAGTATTTGTAGTGAATATTGGAATGCATTCACACCACTCACATCGGCCTGTTTCTAGTAATTTTTCACTGTTTCACCAATGAGATTATATTATTTTAATGGTGCGTTCGGAGAGACGCTATTAGCGCTACTTCTGTCATTCTATCTTTATTGTTTATTAGACATAAAACATAGAATGACAGAAATAGCGCTAATAGCGTCTCTCCGAACGCACCATAAATTAGCTAATTATAGTGATGTGGACAATAGATATACAGCCATCAAAGATCGAAACAAAACATTTTTTGTCGCAATTGTTCATCAAACTGTCCAGTTTAATGAAAATGTTAATAATTGACAAATACCAACAAGTACTAACAGTTCGATTATTGTAAATATATGTCTATTTTAATAAAAAATATTTATATACACATTAACAACTTGTGCTGGTTCTGAAAGGCATTCAATTTCATTAATATAAAGAACTATATAAGATTTATTACATATAAATTTAATATAAAGAAAAGCTTACTATATAGAGACCAGGGCCTCTATTCTTGAAAAAAACATACGAAATTTTAGGAAAATACTATGGTACACGTATACTGTAGTATTTCCTTATATTTTTGTATAAATTTCTTTTCAAGAATAGGGACAGAGTTCAAAATTTTAATATTGATTGTTACGATTAACATTGATTATTAAATAATGTAATTTTTAAATTTAATATCTTACTTTAATACTTATTACAAAAAAAGTAACAAATCGTTACTTTTCTAAGTAACAGTAACGATAACACATCATCGTTACTGGTACTTTATAAAATTAGTAACGAGTAAACTTAATAAAAAGTTACCAGATTACGATTACCGTTACTTTTTTTACAAAAAATAATAGTAATAGTAACATGTTATTTTTATGAAGTAATGTTATTAATTCTGCATATTTATAAACTTAAAATTTACTCACACATCATATAGTTTCATATGGCCGTCGTCAGATGCTGTAAGAAGCAACTGAGAGTCGGGTGAGAAACATAAAGATCTGATAGGCATCGCGTGACCTAAATAATATAAATTTAAAGATAGAACATTTTATGTCTCGATAATGTTATAATATATTTGGATCTACCTTCCAAGGTACGTAAAACTTTTCCATAAGCAACGTCAAAGATATTAATAATACCATCTATTGCGCCGCTTGCAATATATTTACCATCGGGACTCTGTGAAAAGCAACCTCTTATATACAAATTACATGTATCATAGATTTTTATACAATGTACTTACATATGCTACACTTAATGTAAATTTTCCACCTCTTGTATCTAAAGTCTGTTCTTGTTTACCATTATCAGTCCCATACAGATGTATCTTACCAGCATGACTGCCGGATACAATGAATTTATCATCTGGAGAAAAGACTAAAGTCCAAATGTCTACTGGACCAACTTCAATGCTCAATAACTTATCACCAGAATACAAGTCCCATAATTTCAAACTTGAATCAAGTGAACTTGAGGCACATTCTATAAATTAATGATAAAACATAAATCTAAGCTATTTAATATATTTTAAGTCAATATGTCTATTTGTTTACTTGATCCATCTGAGCTAATAGCTATAGATACAACTCCTAAGGAATATCCAGTTAACTTATGTTTTAACTTCAAAGTACCCTCCTTCAGTTCCCATACTTTCACAGAATCATCCACAGAAGCTGTTACTAGATATTCTACCGTCTCGTTTTCATTAGACTGTACAGAATCACTGTCAAATATATCTCTGTCATTAAAATAATTTTTTTACTTATTGTAAATTAACTCTTTAATTACCGTGAATCTTCATTATCCGGATGTTCTTTCTTCCTCTTTGGACAACCCCATCCACAAGTCCATATACTATCCTCATGGGCATTTTCTGTCTTATGAGTTA